GATCCTCAGACATATAAGAGAGATTGAATAAATATGAGTATTATGAAACAAACTTCTGACAAAAGTGACCACAATTAACATAACCACAGGCAGAGTATCAAACATATGGAGTCCTAGTGATGGACTGCATACACTTTTCAGAAGGGGTTAATCACCCTTCTACTTACCATCCCCTGTTCTTTTTTTTTCCCAATTTGAATTTTGGGCTTCTATCGATTTATGTGTGTCATCCTTGAGCAGGGGTCATGCTAATCTTCTGTGTATTGTTCCAATTTTAACGTATGTCCTACCCTGGCGTTTCACTGAGGCAGAGTCAGAGAGAGTTTGTTAATCTCATTAATCCTGCGCATCGAACCTAATTCTACGGCCCTATCTTATCTCCCTCATGTCTCCATACAGGCGTACGCTCATTCTTTTCTTTGGTTGTTGTTTCAGCCCTCGATTTATTTGGCCTGCACAGCAGCCCGGGCCGCCTATGTGTCCAACTGGCCAGACTATCAATGCTGTTTTTTTTGTCGTCCTTTGACACCAAGAAGAGTCCGATTTTTTTGTTTATGAATGCATTCAACTTGATTCAAGCCTTTGGGTTAAGATCGCAGTGGTTTAAGTTGGTGGATGCAGCGTTTTTTTTTGTGTTTTTTTTTTTCCCAGCTGCCGTAGGGCTGCATCATGCAACCAATGAATTAAATTTTGTTTTTTTCCATGTGTCGCCATGAAGTCTGGAGTTGGAGTTTCCACCATAGTTATAAGTTGTAACTAATTGTTCTGATAGATATAGATAAGATAGGCGGCCATCATATAGCACGCCCTGAATTGTTGTAATGCCAAAACAACATGAGTTGTTGAGATTTTGAAACAACGAGGAGTTATTCGAAGGCAGCAGAGCCTCTTGGGGACTGATGAATTGTTTTAATTTCGAAACAACAAATTCGTTTCTTGCGAGGTGCTGCATGGATGTCATTAGCTCGTGTCGTGTCGAAGTGGGAGGGGCTGTATTCAAATGCACATAGAAATATGACCTTCGACAGATTTACAGTTTGTCGCTTTTAACCACTCTGGTCCACTCAGCCTGTGTAGCACGGCGAACATGTTTGCCGGCTTTCTGAACGTTCGAACATGTTCGCCTGTTCGCCTGAACAGGGGGTGGACATGTTCGGACGAACATGGAACATGTTCGTCTTTGTGGGGGGGAAGGGGGGGGACAAGTGTGGAGGGGTTGGTGGGGTGCTAAGAGGCGAACAACGTGGCGCACTGGGGGGGCTTGGCATTGAGAGAGAGAGAGAGAGAGAGAGAGAGAGAGGGNGGTGCCTCTCGTCAATACTCTCGACGACGCTAGGAAGAAAGAGCTACTCGCGTTCGTCACCGTTCTCAAACGGTGGCGCCACTTTCTTCTCGGCTGTCGGCGTTTTAAATGGAATACGGACAACAATCCGTTGACCTTTTACAAAACGCAGGATACGGTCACTAGCACGATCGGTCAATGGATGTATTACATCGACCAGTTCGACTTTGACCCGTGCCACATTCCTGGTCCCGCCAATCGAGTTGCGGACGCCCTCTCACGACGGCCGGATTTTTGTGCCATTGTGACCACGGCATTCGACCCCGATGATGATCTGCAGCCGCATTTCGTCAAAGGCTACAAGTCGGACCCGACTTACTCTACGCTTTACGCGGAGCTTTCATCGGATCCCCCGCCGGCTAGCCACTATCGAATTTCCGACGGGTTCCTTCTCCTTYACACGAGAGGAAAGGACTTGTTAGTTGTGCCCCAAGATCGCATCTTACGGACTTGTCTTCTCGGCGAATTCCACGACGCAGGACTTTCGGCACACCTTGGCGTGAACCGTACATTAGCACGCCTCCGCCAGCGTTTTCACTGGCCCGACGTCCTTCATGACGTCACGAGGTACATTGAGTCATGTGCAGTTTGCCACCGTAACAAGGGTCGATCTCGAGTCCCCTTCGGTGAACTGAAACCGTTGCCGATTCCTCGGGCACCACGCCCCTCCATTGCTATGGACGTGACAGGCCCGTTCCCCCGCGATCGCCATGGCCATGACGGTATTCTCACGGTCGTTGACCGCTTGAGCAAGTATGCTCCCTTCCTTCCTTGCAAGTATCATGCTGCAGCGCCTGAGCTCGCACGACTCTTGCACACCGGTTGGATTACCAACCAAGGTGTTCCGGAAGACATAGTGAGCGACCGAGATACTCGCTGCATGTCGGCTTTTTGGACTTCCCTTATGGCTGAGTCCGGTACGACAATGAAGCCGAGCTCGGCTCGGCACCCGCAAACGGATGGCCAGACGGAGCGAACACACCAGACTGCTCAGATGATGTTGCATACGCTCATCCGTCCCGACCAGAAAGATTGGGTTGACCGGCTTCCCGACATCGATTTCGCCTATAACACTTCGGTGCACCCGGCGATCTGCGTCACACCATTCGAGCTACATCATGGTGGAGAGAAAGCACGGATCTTCGCTGATCACCTTCTGCCACAGGCCGCCGACATAGACGTCCCTTGCTCTCCCGCTTCCGTTCGGAAGTACCGGGACTTGCTGATCAAAGCCCGCGCGAATATGCAAAAGGCTCAAATCCGCATGCAACAGCAAGCTAACCGACTTCGACTTCCATGTCCTTTCCGTTAGGGAAACTTGGTTTGGGTCCTCTCCGAGGAATTTGCGCTCGAGCAAGACGTTTCGCGCAAACTCCTTCCGAAATGGTTCGGACCATGGGAAGTCACTTCTGCCGTTGGAGACGACCCCGCAGGTCCTTCCTTTGTGGTCAACATTCCTCCGCACCTTACAGTCCACCGGGTCTTCCACGCGTCGAAGCTGGCCATCTACACGCCACCTTCCGCCGACGAGTTCCCCGGCCGTCGATCACAGGATCCGCCTTCTATGAACAGACATCAGGAAGTTGACCGAGTCATCACGCACCGCAAGTATGGCAACAAGCCAATGCAGTTCAAAGTCACATTGGAGCAATGTGCGCCTGACGACACTCGGTGGATCTCTAGTACAGACTTGCAGACTTCTGCACCCCTCATCTTCGCCGACTATGAGAAGCGACGCCTTGCCAAGGAAGCAGCTTGTCCCGCCCGACCCATCCCGGTATCGGACAGACAACTCCGCCCTCGCAAGTAGCTCGGTTTCTTAAGAGGGGGAGTGTGTTACATCTTCGACGCCACACGGGTCCTACCGGACACGACTTAGGGCTAGAGGGACACATTAGGCCCTAAAGGCCCGACCTTGGGGGATTATCAGGCCGAAAGGCCACGACTTGGACCAGACCGACGGACCAGGCCCAAACGACATTTTCGTTTTGGGCCTGGCGGCGCCTTTGAGGCTGCCGCTCTCCGGTCGGATCTGAATCGTCCATCTGGACGATTCAGACCCAACCGAGGCCTCGCAGCATTGAGGCCGGTCTTCTTCGAACCAGTACTTAGTACTGGTCCGGCCTCACTTCAAGGTTATCGAGCCACCAGCGTTATGCCGGTGCGTATCGGTTGGCAGCAGCAGCACTATTTTGAACGCAGGAGCGGAGGGCAGCAGCAGCAGCGAGCGAGGAGACCAGCAGCAGCACGACGGCCATAGCCGCCTCGACAGCAGCAGGGCAGGTACCAGGAGGCGAGGATCTCTTCTCCTCCCTCCACGGTCCCGTTCCCTCCTCCTCACCTCCTTCTTCCCCTCTGCCATCTCTCTCTCCCTTTTCTTCTTCCTCTTCTTCTTTCTTCAGACTTCTTCTTCTTCTTCTTTCTTCAGACTTCTTCTTCTTCTTCTTTCTTCAGACTTCTTCTTCTTCTTCTTCTTCTTTCTTCAGACTTCTTCTTCTTCTTCTTCTTCTTCTTCTTCTTCAGATTGGAGATTTATACTAGTTGGACAGAGATCAGTGTTGGACTTCGGTGGTATGAGGCTGTGGTACTTACCGGATTCGAGACTTGGAGATTGTTGGGGTTGATACTCGGCGGCATCACAGTTCGGACATCGTTTACATTAGGACTCTGTATCTCCGACATTGGTGACTTATTGTCCTCGACATTTTGATCTTGTTTGATGACATTTTGGACTACCATATCGGTGACCTATCGGATTCTATCTCGGTGACCTTCGGTGCTGTCTACCTCCCCCACCTCC